CCTCCTGGGCACCGTACAATCTGCTCACTAATGCTGCGTCTCTTATGTTGGCGCTGGCAGCCTTAAAGGGAAAGGAAATAAGGAAAATCAGGGTGGTGCCAGTTAGCCGAGCAATTATGTTGTGCACCCGATGTAAAGAGGCTATAGTTCGGTAACTTTATTGCATGAAATCCCCTACTTGCTCTCCTACCAGCATTTCTGTCTCTCTACAGCTGTCCTTTCAAAGTAAAAGGCAAAAAATGCAGATAAAAAGAGCATGTGTCTGTACTTAAAGGCTTTATATGCAATTTTTTGATCCAGCAGATGTCGCCCTTGAGCACCAGCATGAAACCAAAACAACTCACGCTGCATTGTTGTGTTAGCATGCTAATGCTAGCGATCTTTATTATGCTGGTATCTTCACACTGCATGTAAATTGACCTGAAATGAGCGTGATCTAGAAACACAGTTAAGCAGTGAGTACAGTATGTTATTCTTCTTTTCTCTAGTCCCTCAATTAAACAACTTTTATACACGAGGGGAGGAGTCAGCCGGCCGTCCGGGCGATGTAAACCAAAGTGAAGATAGGACTCTGAAAACTCTGAAAACTTCACAGACAGTGGGACTCGGGTGTTACACCCATTGTAGACAGTCATGACATGAGTTATTTTCAGAGGATATACTTGATTTCTACATTTAAGAGTGAAAAATCACAGAAAGACTTTAATGACTGAAAACCACCACGACTTTAACCATATATATAAGTATTATCTGGATTATTCTTTGAGTCAAAGCTCTATTATTCAAGAAACTGCTTCAAAATCAAACCCTATATAAGGAACCTGTTGCCTTGTTTCTCATGAAGTGTAGTTTCTTTTAAACCAAACTTTGAAACAGCAGCTTCTCCTCCACAGCTGAAACTAAATCCTGACTAATTGGCTGATACTCCCGTCGAGTAAATTTGCTTATGACAGTTTTTAAGAAAAACATCTTCAGCAGAAATGATTTGGCACTTTGAGGCTCGTTCAAACACCGCTCTTATCTTTTTCTTTTTTCCTCCCACATGAACAGCTTGAACGTTGGACTCCAACCATTTTAATGTTTACTTTCAGTGAACAGCAAATGAATTCTCTCCCTCCAGTGGCAGGTCGTTAAATCTGTGTGTGGACAGCAGGTACAAAAAACTGTGGCGTCGGAGCAAAAAAAAAGGAGGATCATGGACAAAGCTTGGTTGAACTTTTTAAGAGTTTTATTTCAACTTGAGTTCATTTACAGCAGTTCCACTGGAGAGGAAAACGGGTCTGAATGATCATCTAGCCACATTAAACCTATGGTCCTATCTACTGTATGTACAGGGAGGAGGATGCAGCAGGATAGTGCAGAAGGCACAGAGTTGGCTTAATACTCGCCTGTAAGCGCTACTAACATGACAGGAAGAAGAAAAAAACACACACACAAAGTGAAATGGCAGCTTCGTGATGTAAAGCCGATGACACAGCGAGATGATGCAATAAAGGAGACTCCGCCCCTTAGTGATATAGTGGAGGAGTTTAAAAAAAAGAAGAAAACTACAACAAGCGCAAGCATCTGCTCCTTAAAAAAGCAGTTAAGTGTGCACTTAAAAAGCAGCATGGTCATCTGAGCCTCGCGGAGCCCCGAGGTGATACGACAAGTCAGAGTTTGGATTTGTGAAGTTTTACAAGAAAATCAAAATAAGAAAGTGGACGATGTTAAGGCATATCGCAATTATACAGATGCATTTCTTACCCAAGATTAAAAAAACTCATCAAAAGGAGGGATGAAGAGGACATTAATGAGGAGGGTTTGGCATGCTTCATCTTCACCCTGACTGACCCAACCGTCCAATGAGAGCTGCAGGATCTTCCAATAAAAATAAAGGAGAGAGTGAAGCTGCAGCGTGAGAGCACAGGAAGGAGTGACGGCGGTTTGCATGCTTGAAAATGAAACAAGAGGGAAAAAGGAAGACTTGTCCGAGCGTCATTTGATACAGGAGAAGGAGAAAAAAAAAAATCACAACTTTAAGAATCAAAACATCTTTCACTCGTTCATGAACACACACACACACACACACACACACACACACACAGATAAATCAAATCTAATGTACAAAGTGTTTGATGTAATAATGTGACACTGGTGCCACATGGAGGATAATAAACCTTATTATATAAGAACACCACTCGAACCCAAAACATCATTCAAGTAAAGCCTTTTTAAACTGGACAAAACAAACAAAAACAAATGTACATCCTGGTTTCAGATCACGTGGAATAGTTGCATCTCAGAGTTGGATTCTGCTGCTTATTGAAAAAGTACATTCAACAGGTACGTCGACGATGATGGAACAAAATGAAAACACGAGAGGTAAGGTCGATGTTTCAGAAATTATTATTGGAAAGGAAGTCGAACAGGACAGAGTGTTGAGGCGGACTTAGACTGTCAATCTCTGATTTCTCTTTTCAAGACTGAACGAGGAGCCGACACGACGTCTTGAGGACGACTTTGTGTGAATCGGACTTTAGACTTAAAACAATCGTATTCTAATCTAATTGTTGCATTTTTATTCTGTCGTTTTTTAAATTAAATGATTGTTAAAGTGAGCCCTGACATCAAGATAGAAATGATCAAATCTTGGAAGATAATCTTTTTTTTTTATATCCACAGCTCTGGTGGTGTTTTCACACATGCACAAATCTCCTGAAAATATTTATGAACTTCGAGTATGAGCTGCATGTGTGAACGCAAACGGCCACATTTCTTTCAACCGACCCTACCCTGAAGTCTTCCTGCCTCCCCCCTGATGAAATTAGTGCGTGAAGTCGGGGTGAGCAAATGTGTGAACACAGCAGGAAAAATGATTTCTAGAAATTTGTGCATGTGTGAAAACCGCTGAGGAGTCGGGAAAATTCAAGTTAAACTTTCTAACAGTATGTCAGGGGATCTTTCTGTCTTCCTCTTTAGTATCCTTTAAGTACTAAACATTTGGTTGCCTAGTAACCACATTTCAGAAACAGTCTAAATCCACCTCAATGCATCCAAACATTTCCCAAACTCTCGCCCCAGGTGACTTTTTGTTGTACCACAAAAATCACAAGAAAATAAAAAGAAACGTAACATAACATCACAGCTATATAAATATAATTATATACTTATATATCATCATTTTTTATAAAGGTTCCTAGAGTTCAAAATCAGACTTTCTACATGTGATATTGGACAAAGTAAAAAAAAGAAAGCATCACAGGGGCAGAGAACCAAAAAATGTGCAAGAAATCTAAAAAAGAAAAAAGGTGCAGGAACTATGCAAAACACATGAGCACACCTTCAAATGCCTCCTCAAATAAAACATTTACATTAATAGGAAAATAAAAAAAGGTCACAAGTTTGATTTTTCAAACCACAGGCTCTTGAAAAATGGAAGAAACAAGAAGAGGAGGATGGCTGTAGAAGACGGGAGGACAGATATGGATCTCCCTGTGTTGTTTTTTTTTTTTAGCAAGCAGTCAGTCGCAGTTAGCAAGTCAGCCGTGAGTAAGGCAAGATAAAGTTCTGCTTCATCCAGGTGCAACGGAAAAAAGATGGAGTCCAACATCAGATAAACTGTGGGAAGCAAAACAAACGACAAAAACGGCTGCAGCAAATAAACGTAAAGAGCGAGGCAGGTGAGCGGCGATGAAGCCACCGAGGAAGAAAAAACAAAAAAAAGGCAGAAACTCAGATTTTAAGTGCAGCAAATAAAAAAAAATATCCTCAAAAACCACAGGAAGCTTTGCAGTAAATCTCCGACCTGCTGACAAGTCTTAAGAACACAACCGCAGACAATGGGACTCGTTACTTCACTGTCCAGACGTTTTAGAGAAATGTGCATCATCTAAACTCTCCTCGCTCTGACGTCGCACATTCACAGGGAGCAAACAGGATTGTTAATTAGGTAATGCAAAAAAAAAAAAAACACAATTTGAGAGTTCAGTTTAATAAATTAAAGTGTTTGCATCGTTATCAGACGGGGTTTTTGTTCAAAATGTCGGGGGCGGAGAAAAAGTGCTAAATTCATACTTTGCTTCCTCGCTGAAGCTGCAGCGATAAGTGCTCAGTGATGAGTTCATCCTTAACGGCATCACAAGCGAACATGTCTCATGAGAGTTAACGTTTGGCTTCTTATCGTGGGAGTTAGAAACGCCGTGATTACAGATCTGAATGCAACAAAGCGAGAGATAAACCAACTTCAGTGGTAGGTGGACCCCGTTCCATCCATCCATCCTTTATCTATACCGCTTTTCAAGTGCGGAGACGCATGGGGCTGGAGCCAATCCCAACTGTGATTGGACGAGAGGCGGGGTTACACCCTGGACAGTACGCCAGCCAATCACAGAGCGGACGTATAGAGACGGACAACAGGCAATTTTAGAGTCTCCAGTTAAACCTATCGAGCATTTCTTTGGACTGTGGGAGGAAGCCGGAGAAAACCCACACATGCCCGGGGGAGAACATGCAGACTCCACACAGAGAGGCTCCTAACAGACGGGGATTCAAACCAGGAACCTCCTTGCTAACCACTGCACCACCGTGCAGCCTTCCCCGTTTCCTCTTGTTTTTTTTAACCTGCTCGATAAATGAGTCTTGATGATATGATGAATGGCGGTGCAGTTCTTGGGGTCTGGCCTTCTGCTTTGATGGATGTACTGCATGTTCTGACATGGCACACGGGGGACTCGGGCAAAAAAAACACAATCGAATAGAAACAAAAAACAAACCAAACGAGAGAAAAAGAACAGAAGGTTCTGCACAGAATATCAGAGTTCCTACAAATATTTACACGACAGATACAGGCACTTGTATATCTTTGGTTGGAGAAACCCAACATTGCAAGGATAATGCATTCACAGAGCTTTTGTGTCCCCTTATTGTATTTCCAAGGTTCACTAGGCAACTGGTATGTTTATTTTTTTTATTTTTTTTATTTCTTCTGTTTCTTGGAGTTTTGTCCGTGTCACAAGTAAGTTCTCACACATCTCTCGGGTGTCTGTTTAACCCTCTGACAACGCCACCTGAAACAGAAGACAGGAGGTTACTGAGAGAGTCACTGGGGCCCTGTAGAGAAACAAAAGAAGCATACCACCACCACAAACAGATAAAAGAGAGAAAGAAAGTGAAAGCAGAGGATTAAAAAGTAACAGAAATAATCATCTAAGTTTGATCAGATCTCCACCAGTATTTTTTTTTTTTTGATCCAGTAGATGTCGCCCTTGAGCTCCAGCATTAAACCAAAACAAACTGCTGTTTGGCCACGCCTCCTCCATACTGAAGCCTCCGCTCTCCTACAGAGACACACCTCCAACCCGTCTCCCCTCGCGTTCGCATGAAGGAGTTATCTAGTAACATCGGCGATCAAATTAGCCGACTTGATGTGCTAATACCGGCCGATATTATCAGTTGGCCGATTCATCTTTCCGAGCCACTTCATGATTTCTAACTGAGGCGCTCATGACATGAACCGAGGCAACAGAACGGAAGTAACTGGTGAACAAAACGGGATAAAAGAAGAAGAAGAAAGCGGTGAAAAGAAGAGAGGAGATGAAGCATGATAGGCGGGGAAACTGTCACCAAGTTGCAGTGAATATATTTACATGGATTCTGTGCTTTTATTTTGAAGGAGCATTTTAAATTCTTCACTTATTCAGGTATCGTGATTCTCGCAATATATCAATAATCACAGAAAACTTGTATGGTGATATGATGGTTATTTAGCCCGCCCCACAGCTGCCTGTATATAAAACTGGTTAATTTTAGCTCTGTTGACACTCCATCCCCCGTGTGTGTGTGTGTGTGTGTGTGTGTGTGAGCTCTGACTCAGACAATGAGTCAGAGCTCTGTGGACTGCTGTTAGCTGGCTGATGAAAGGTGATACGTGAAGGTTATGTCGTCTGGTTTTTTTTGGGCTACCACACACACACACGGGGATCATTGATTACCTCTGGGAGCGAAATGCAACCACTCACCGATCAGGCAGAGTGAGGAGCAGCGTGTAACACGGTGTTCTTAGGTTTAAAGGGCTTATGTTTGTGCATCACTATCGATGAATGTGGGACTTTAATCTGCTTAAAAAATAACTATGGAAGCATAATTATTGAATATTTTTTTAAATACTTGATTTCATTCTTGTGCAAAAACCTTTCAACTTTAAACCTACGCACGATGAATCCTGTTAAAAAAACAATCTGTCATTTACGGCTAGCAAACTAGTGGCTGTTTTGGAGATTGCTGTTGTGAATCTAAATAGTTTATTTCTCTTGTGATTTCCTTTTTAAACTGTAAAATGTATAGATATTAAAAAGTTGTGGTACAAGCATTAGGTAACCATCCTCAACCCTTGACGTTGCATTAGCCTAGCTAACCATATGCCATTTTTTGCATATGGTTATGCCAACAAAACAGGTTTTCAAAGTGCGTCTCACACAACAGATTTGACGGTAATTAAAATCAGGCTGCCAGGTTTGATCTCCTGAGCTTCCTTTTTGAGAATTTGTTCTTTGCAGATTTAAAACTCAAAAAGCCGAATCCTTCCCCGACGATTTATTGCAACCAAGCGAAAAGCTCCAAACACAACAAGAGCTGACTGAAGTCTCCTTTGCCCCGCCCCTGCTTATTGTTAACTTTGAGATTGCTTCATCATAGGTCCATGCAGTTTGCAGAGAAAGCAGAGAATCAAGATTTTGATTGGATAGTGTCTTGGACCAATCAGCGGTCGGTTGAGGCTCGTCTGAAACTACCTGTTCACGTCATAAAGCACTGCTGGTGACTGTTGTACCTTCTCAGGGCAGAAGTCGGGGTTGGTTTGTCGTACTTTGCCAGGTCGTCCCTTTATGACTGCGTAACAGAACATAGTGATGACCATGACAAACAGGAAGTAGCTCGTGTGCATCAGGTGCAGGTTGATGAGGGAACGGTCGTCCTGGAAAGAGTTAGAAAGACGAGAGTTAAATATCGTGGAGTGTACAGAACGAGCTACCTCACCTGAGCTACCTCACCTCCGACAGAACGAGCTACCTCACCTTTGACATTAACGAGTTACCTCACCTTTGACATTAACGAGTTACCTCACCTTTGACATTAACGAGCTACCTCATCTTTGTCAGAACGAGCTACCTCACCTTTGACATTAACGAGCTACCTCACCTTTGTCAGAACGAGCTACCTCACCTTTGTCAGAACGAGCTACCTCACCTTTGTCAGAACGAGCTACCTCACCTTTGACATTAACGAGTTACCTCACCTTTGACATTAACGAGCTACCTCACCTTTGACATTAACGAGCTACCTCACCTTTGTCAGAACGAGCTACCTCACCTTTGACATTAACGAGCTACCTCACCTTTGTCAGAACGAGCTACCTCACCTTTGTCAGAACGAGCTACCTCACCTTTGACATTAACGAGCTACCTCACCTTTGACATTAACGAGCTACCTCACCTTTGACAGAATGAGCTACCTCACCTTTGACAGAGTGTGCTACCTCACCTGAGCTACCTCACCTGAGCTACCTCACCTTTGACAGAATGATCTACCTCACGTTTGACAGAATGATCTACCTCACCTAGAAACAGAAAGGTCAAGAGTCATTCCATCTCTGTCATTTGTTGTTGATGATGGAAACAATGGTCTCTAGCTCCACTCTTTAATCCTCTGTGTGTTTGAGATCAGGTAACAGTCCAGGCACGTCATGTATTTGTTTTCAGGCTCACTGGACCGTTCAGTGCACAGTGGAGGCCCGACAATAGGATCATTGTTTAGCAGGAACAATCTACTGCCATCGGTATAGAACTAAGACCACGTGGCTTTCAGAATGGGCTCCATGTTCAGTCACATTTAGCTCGTCTTATAGGAGGGAGAGGGACGTATACCCCGCCTGAAGATTCACAGATGGATAATCTGAACTGGGGTTCTTTGAATTTGTTCCAACAACAACTTAAAAAACATTAACATTGAAACAGATTAAATGCAGGTCAGGGTATAAAATATAGAATACAATAGAATAGAATTACTTTCTTGATCCCAAACTGGGAAATTGAAAATGAAACATAAAAAGATAACTTCAAGTTCACTCGCTTAAGGTTCAAGTCATGTTGTTGTATTGAAGAAAATGCTGTAAAGTAGCTCTTCTATCCTAACCAGGATGCTGTTTTACAGGAAATCCAGTCTGTTAATTAACTTTTGAAACTCTGTTTGTCTCTATCCGTCTCCTTCTTCCTGCATCTCGCTCTATCCCACCATTCAAACACAAGTCTCAGCAGATCCCTCTTCATCATGAGTCTGCTTCAGCTAAAGGACGTTTCTCCTCTCATCTGTAACTTTGCTGAATGTTGCTTAGTAGAAGTGAGGACAAAAAGGCTTGTAAGGGGACAGCACTTCAGATATATATTCTGGGTCCAGACCGTTAAGTGCTTTAAAAGTCAGAATCAAAAACCTTAAAATAAAGTGAGGTGACTCACATCAGGCACGATGACTGTAAGCTTTGGGTTGAGTGCGTGGTACACCTTGCCGATGGCTCCTTTGTAACACCAGAAGGGGTTGTAGTCCTGACTGTACTTGGTGTCAGAGTCACGGACTGTGGTGAACACCTTGTACCAGGATGTGGCGTTGGTGTACGTCTCTGGTACGCAGTGTGGCGGCTGCCTATAAACCACAACAGAGAGGGACAGAGTTACTTACTGGAGTACTTTTTTTTCTAACAGTAACATGTGTCTCTAGTCTGTCTACAAACCCCCCAACGATGAGAAAAGTCTATCCTCTCCATCTTTTGCATGCTCCACTTTTCAGAAAATGTGTGCTCAAACAGGCTGTTTGTAGATTTTCCCTTCATGACATCACAAAGGGCAGTAGCCCCTCCCCCAGGTGGGTGACACTCCCACAGCTAGGTGTGTGTTCAGCCCTCTGAGTCTGCCTTCTCACCGTAAACAATAGGACATGGAGCGAGAAAGCCCGAGTACACCCAAGCCCTTCCAGAGAGGGGGCGTGGTCAGACACAGCTCATTTACATATTTAAAGGTACAGACACAGAAACAGCCTGTTCTGAACAGGGCTGAAATAGAGGGGTTTATAAACATGATCAAATACAGGATCAAAGTGGATTTAGAACAAGAAACTTCACACACATGTTTTAGGGAGCTCTGAGAATTATTTACACTGGTTGAAGAGGAGGATAATATCTGACCTTTAATCTGGACACTTCAACTGCTTCCTAGAATGCAGCCTTGTTTTTAATATCAGATTAACAAAGCGTGATCTCTTGAAGACCAGTGGGACGACTTTTCTATCTTTCTGGGAAACTATTTGAGTTTGTAGAAGACTGCATCGAGCTGAGCAAGTTTAACATTACAGGAAACGACCAAGTTTTATTATGCAGCTTGGACGACTCGAGGGACTGACATACATTTCATACCGCTGACAACATCTGCTGCAAACATCTGTCATTCCATTTAACTGCTGCAAACTCTCATGTATGTTTTATTAAATGCAGTGCTGCTGCTCGGATCCAAAGAAAATAACATTATGAGTCATCACGTGATGGAAAGTAGCTAATTCATTGTACTACTGTAATGAGAGTGGGAGGGGTCGCATACAGCAAGTACGACCCCGATGTCTTTACAGCAGCGCTATACAAGCTCAATTTATCATTTAACAACAATAACAAACCTCTATGCAGATGTCAGGAATAAACAGTATGTTCACAGTTTGGGCTTTTCATTTATATCAAGAATCCAATACCTCTGTGTTTGGCCTTTATACTAGTGGGACATTTTGTCTTAAGGCCCTGACACACCAAGGAGCCCTAGTTTTTGCGGTGTTTCTAGCTCCATCGGCCCCGGTTTGTCTTTTTTTGGCTGATTCGACATGTTGAGGGATCTCTCTGATTGGCTGTTGGGAGGTTTCATTTCTCTCCAGCTCTCCTCTCAGGTTCAGTAAAGCCCCTTGAGCATGTCTCTGTAGTCTCCATGCTTTCACCCATTAGTGTGGTTTCTCCTTATTTGTCTCCTCCACCTCTTCTTTTCTTTTTTCCACTAAAAGACCAAGAACTGACAACGCCAGCGCCATTTTCTACTTTTTATCAGACATTATTCTCCATTAGTGGGCGACCTGTAATACAAGTGGTGACTGACAGCGGTGTGAAAATGGTCTTCTCGTATCATGAATGGACTACCGCCCCCTGCTGGCATGGAGAGTTACTTCCTCTCACGTATGTGCAGAACGTAGGTGGGTGGTTGGCCGTCGGCTGTAGTCTTTGCGGTCTGCTTGGTGTGTCAGAGCCTTTATAGTCACAGGCCATTTCACCCACTGACTAACTTTTTTTTTTTTAAAGATTTATTTTTTAATGCAGAGAGAGGACAGTGGATAGAGTCGGAAACCAGGGAGGGAGAGCGGGGAATGACATGCGGAAAGAGGCCATGGGTGGAAGCGAACCCAGGCCTACCGCTCGAGACGAGAGCCTCAACACACGGGACGCGCATCCTAACCATTGTGCCATCAGCGCGCCCCACCCACTGACTAACTTTGATTGAACTTTGTAGGAAGAGTTAAACCCAAAACATCCGCTAAAGTGACAGGAAAGATTTGAGTGAAAAAGTTAGTTTCATTTTTGTACAGTAACAAAGTTAATGGCGGGCGCTACACACAGATTTCCCCCCCCCCCCCACCCCTCTGAGTCAGGGAGGCAGGCCAACTCACACTGTGACTGGAAAGATATTGTTGGCCGCCGTGATGGTCATGCAAGTGCTGAACACCACCTGCTCGCAGTGTCCGTGCAGCACACAGTCGTCTGAGTTCCAGGATACAGGCAGGGTGAACGTGATGTTTATTTCTTCATGGGCTTCCCGGCCTACACACAAACACATGAACACAAGAGCACATCAGATTCTTTACCATCTGAACATAATGAAGCTTCTCCACATTCATCTTTTCAGAGTGTTTTTCAGGGAGCTAGATCATTTTATAAAACCTAACAAATGACAAGACTGATTCTTCATGCTTATGCAACATAATCAAACTGTGAGGCAGGATTAGAAGATTATCTGTCAGACGGAGTGGACTCATGGGTGTGAGTAGAGATGGATAAAGTTGTATCAACATAATTGCTTATCCATGAGAAAGAGGGGGGGGTTGACTAAATACTCCTTTGAGTTTACATGAAGGGGATCTAGGTAATTTAATCTACATTTAATTGATGTCTAAAACATCTGAAGGCTAATTGGATGGAAAGAAGAAGTTCTCATTAACGCCCCCCGTCTTTCCCCGTTACATCCAATCATATTATGTGTTCAGGACAGGCTGAGAATGTTTCCTAACGCTCTTTTGGTGCATTCAAGTGGTGTCTGACAGGTCGGAAAAACGAGTTTCCGAACACCTGCTCAAGTTGGAACAACAACTCGGAAACTTTGTAAAGAATGAGGTGCCCGACTTGACGTCAGAATCGTCCTCACATGGGGGGCAAAATATGTTTTGTTAATGTTAAAGTACTTTTTATTAATTCACATATTGCACATCAACTGCATGCAGGACCCTTCATGGATTTAACTTTTTAGGGTGCCGGCTAATAACACATTAATACAGAATATCCAGAAATTCTAACGCAACCTCTGGTTCACTGACGGTCTTATTTCAGAGATAAACAACCACTTGATTTTGTAAGGCTCCTATAAAAGAGGAAGTCCTCCTGGACAGTGTGCGCCCTGTGCAGAGAGGACTGTTTACTCTGAGGTACAAAATGGTTGCATAGATCCGTATTGACTTTGCTCATCTGCTCTCGTGGCTTAAAAACTTTGTGCCAAGGTGACGTGTTGTTTGCACACATCTGAGCTTGTAATAAGTTACCATATGCCGCAGATGGAGAGACAAACAGGAGCACGGTTTTCTGCTGAACTTGGTATATAAAGCATCGTTCAGTCAGAGACATATTGATATCCAAACAGTGGGATTATCCACGTAGGTCAGAGTGAAAAACGAAGCAGGTTTTGAATGAATGTCATCAAAGGCAGAAGGTTAAAACCAACAGACACAGCCAATCTGAGAGGGATTTAAATCAGAGAGACGGGCTGTAAAAATGAAATGAACTGACCTTTAGTGAGGAATCTAACCCGGTCAGATTACATGAAGGTAAAGCCTTACTTTAGATTTGCTCTGTAGTCAAAGTCAAAGAGGAATCTCATGTTGGAATAAACATTTAATTTATTCTCTCAACAATCAGTACATTTAAATCCATTGGGTTAAAAAAAACTCAATATTTGACGACATGATGTCTTTAAAGACAACGTTTGATTCACGTCTAAAATGGATTTTGATCTACTTGAAGTGGAAGCAGAACCAAGACACAACCATCGAACGAGTTGTACCCACTCTCGTAAATTAAAAAAGTGAGAAACAGAAAACAGATTGAACACACTGACTGTGACAGAGCAGCTGAACACCCAAAGCTTTCTGTGGATGTCAGCTGAGTCAAGTTTGTCCAGACTGAAGCGTGATTTTAAATAAATTAGGGTTCAAATGTTTTATTTGTTTTTTGGGGGGCCTTTTTATGCCTTTAAAGGCGATTTTTTGATCCAGCAGATGTCGCCCTTGAGCACCAGCATGAAACCAAAACAACTTGCGCTGCATTGTTGTGTTAGCATGCTAATGCTAGCGATCTTTATTATGCTGGTATCTTCACACTGCATGTAAATTTACCTGAAATGAGCGTGATCTAGAAACACAGTTAAGCAGTGAGTACAGTATGTTATTCTTCTTTTCTCTACTTGATTTCTATTATATTTAAGTGTGAAAAAACTCATTAAGCCTTAAATGTAGAGATGGGACAGTGGATGGAGGCAGAAATCAGGGAGAGGAGCAACAGATCGGATTTGAACCCAGGCCGTCTGCTTGGAGGGCTGCAGCCTCTGTGGGGCGTGCACACTAACCACTGTGCCACAGTCATTCGAGGGTTAAAATACTTTAAGGCAACATTGAATTTAAATGTCAGATGTCATGTTTTTATCAAAACCTGAACTTTTCTGTCGGGTATTGTTTGTTGCAACACTCTGACTTTCTTCCAGGAAGTAGAACGACATGAAACAAGTGTGATAAAAAAGTTTTACACAACAGGTTAGAGACGTTCATTTTGAATCAGGTACATGACTTAAGTTGTAACAATATGTTTGATAAACAATAGGTCGGTTCATTGTGTCACCACAGCGTGGTTAGTGAACACTCTCTGGATTATTTGCTCCTCTCTGACGTCAAACTGGAAAAGTTTTGTGTGGACAAACTGCAACTGAGTTTGTTAATCATGAGCTTTGAGGATGTTGTTATAGATCATAAACATGAATCCACAACAGAAATAATCTGGAGTTGCAGCACTGACCCAGGTCTGAACACACAGACACAGACACACACAGACACACAGACACAGACACAGACACAGACACACACACACACACAGACACACAGACACAGACACAGACACAGACACACACACACACACACACACACACACACAGACACAGACACAGACACACGCACGCACGCACGCGCGCACACACACACGCACCAACAGTAACATTGAAGCGGTAACTTTTGTGTTTATTAGCAGCTAAGTCCTCTTTTTGTGTGATTAAATAAATCACACTGAAAATCAGTTCAATCTGTGGACATGTTGTTTTTGTGCACAAACTATCACATAGTGTTTTGTTATCGACAGGTATTAGCTAACAAAACACAGGTACTCCTGGAGGCGTCCATGATGCTTGTCCGACCTGCATCTGGAACGCAGTTAACGTGTGTGTGTGACGTCATTTAAAGCTCCGAGATCCGAGGTCCGAGGTCAATTGAACGCACCGTTGGATTTCTCCTTGAAGTTGTTTTAGAAAACTTTCACACAGAGTACCACCTTTAGTCCCGACCTGACGTAGCTGTATCTAACTCACTTGGACTCTTTTCCCGTTAACACAAACTCGTTCTGCTTCTGAACAGTAAAAAAGAAAACGACCTACCAGACAGGCCGACCTGCTGCCCCAGCACCGTGGCGTACAGATGAGTGATATTGCGCGAGTAGCCTCCAAAGGGGCGCTGGGGGTCCAGCGTGAGGGTGATGGGGACCGAGATGTTGATGGGACCCGAGTCCTCCAGCAGGAGGGGGACCTGGGTGCTGGAGCGAGCCTGACCGCTGGTCACCACCATGCTCTCCGGCGTGGTCGACTCGTTCAGGCCGTGCTTTATCGTCTCGTTCTCCGACACGCAGAAGTCCAGCTCGTTGTAGCGCAGCAGGAAGGTGTTCCAGTCCTACAGAAGATATGTTTCCATCGTTAAGAGAGGAGACCAAGTCGAGATCCAACATTTATAAACTGATTATAGACGGTGTTTTTTTCTAGGCTGCGTAAACATATTTGAATGAAAATGACCGATTTGACAAAGGAGACAGCAGACAGAGTGTTGGAGCATCAGAGGAACGTTTAGCAGGTCAAACCGGTGTGTGACTGTTGAAATGCTTTCCTGTAATGTATTTCACCTGTACACTTAGATCTTAGTCTGATTTGTACAGCGCCTTTCGGGAAACCCAAGGACGTCTGATTTGTATCTGGAGGTGCAATTTTGAAAAGCATTTATTTTTTACTATTCAGATTAATATGCAAAGGTTTATCCACATCCACTTCTAGTGCTTCCACACTTCAAGAAAACTCCTGAAAAACTCTGGATATTTCCAGGAGCAAGTCCGAGTGGGCTGATGTGAGAACGCAGCAGGATATTCTCTGGAGAATTCACCTCGAGCCAATAGGAGGGGGGATTGATGTTTATATTCTGTGACCGCTGCAGGCATAGAGTGTCCGCATGCGACCGCTACGATCTGCATGCATGTATTTAAACGGCTGCATTGTGTTTCCTGGTCTCCAGTTTGTTCTTCTCCACTCTTTTGTAGATATTGTGATTCTGTTGAACTACATGTAGCACTGATATAAAAGCAAATATTCTCATTATAGCGTCGTATAGCGCAGCCTTCCCCAAACTTCAGACTGCCGCGGCCCGCTTTGAAATACTCCAGGGCCCGTTATAAGACTACATCTATAACTTTGAGTTAGGTTAAATTATTGGACATGACAACATGATATTATGGTAAGATAGACACAAAACGTTTACTAAACATTATGTCCATGAATTGTCATGATAATCCTTCCTAATCACTTAAAGGGTTGACTCATGGTAAATCATCATTATTGTGATATTTCTTATATTTTTAGGCCCGCCTGCAGTACCCACACGGCCCACCAGGGGCTGCGGCCCACACTTTGAGAAGCACTGGTAAAGCAGACGCTACCTCAGGAGACCTCCTCCCGTCTGAAAACAGCTCCATTACTCGATACCAGTCTTTACATTGGCATGTACATTAGAGCAGTTTAAAAAGGGGTCAAAGGTCACATATAGCTCTCTCTGTATTTGAAGAAGACTTTGATTCCTTCATTGCTCTTCCTAATAAATGTAACTTGTAACATCACTTCATTTTCCCGGCGACACTCAGAAAAGTCTGAGTTGGTCAAAAACAGGAAGCGACAAGAGTTCAAACCGTTGCAGTAATGATTCCTCCAGCATTAAGGTCACGAGCTGACATTTCAGCTGGTGCTCGAGAGGCACTTTATTGAGCAGATGATATTTACTCCCTCTTCTCTGCGTGGCTGTGACTCACCTCCGTCAGCTCCGGAGACTTGATCTCCTTAATCTTGAAAATAACCGATGGTCAGGAAGGCAATGGCCACCGCGCTGACGCTGATCATAAAAATGACCAGCGGCGGACGGTTGTTGATGTAGCTTCTCAGGTTGTCTATAGGATTCAACAGGTACACCTGCACGTGGACAAATGAAACAATCATCTCATGAGTCATACGGGTTTCAATCAAACATCAGCGGTGAATAATCAGCCTTCACAAAGAGTCTTTAAGATCTTTGACTGCACAGACTTATGAAAAATATGCAGGTAATAGTTGCCCCGGCGACAGGACTCTCCGTTTTGAATATTTTAAAAAAGTGATGCATCAGTGAAACGAGCCACTGGAATA